AGAAGAGCTTGTGGTTCCCGATGCCCACGCAGTTGTTGACCCAAGGGCAGTGGTGGTCCATTTTGACCACGCAACGACGACAAATGCTGCAATGGTGAGCGCGCGGGGGCTTGAATGCATTACACCGACGGCAAAACTTGCGAACGCGCGCTCGGGGATTGCCTCCCATGCCTGCATTACCCAGGACCCCATCATGGGATCCAGAGAGTCTTCCTTCATCCATGGCGACACCATTGGTGCCGGTCCCTTCCTGTCCGTTTGCCTGCACCTCCGGGTCATCAGCCAGCGGGAGTGCGTTTCGAGGCACTGCGCCGGGGTCTGTCGTCATGGCCCGGACATGGGAAATTATAGCCAGGCAGGCTGTGGCATTGAAGGCAGTTACGTTTAGAAAACCCCATAGAGATAGCACGCCCATCCACCCGAATATCACTATCTTATTGATGGTGTACTGAGCGTACAATATCAAACTCCAGGTCACGCCGGCACACACCACTCCACACGGGTCCTGGTTGCACCACCAAAGCACGTTGTGTCCAGTCCCGCATCCCTCTTTTTGGGCTCCTCGTGAAGATTGGGGTCCCATACTGTTCTTTGCTACAGTGTTACAATCCCAGCAATGTGCCTTGCGGAGACATTTTGCCCACTGCTGTCGTCCCTATGGTGTAATTTTCAGATGAGAAAAATCAAAAAGTGAGCAGGGAAAGGGGCCACGAGATAAGTGATGCAATCGCCGCACGATCTTAAGCACAGAAAGCCAGACTCTGTGCCTACGGACATGCAGGATCTCTCTTGCACATGTCAGTCTCCTTCAGGATCGTGAAGAGCGCCAGTAGAGCCACGGCTACCTGTGCACGCGGTCGGGTGGGACTTATGCGAAGACTCTGACAAGGAAGGCGGCGGAATCGATCATTCCCGCAGATGCAATGTCGCGCATTACCGGACCTAGCGACACAAAAACGCGGGCTGCGGGAAGAACCTGCTTGTTTCGCACCGCTCGCGGGGTTGACATTGACGTTCATTCGGAAGGGGATGTGGTGGAAATGTTTTGTAGGGCGACTGTGCCTTGGTCATGATGTTACGAATGCTCGCGTGCTTCGGAAAGGGCAGGCTGCCCGGCGGACGCGCCCCTCCCTCATCTCGATGCGACCTCTCATCTGGTAGACCGTACTTATACTCGCGTACCCCAACATCTTTACCATCCCCATTAGATAATGCTGTTTTCTACGGCATTTCGACGCATGCCTGTCCAGCGGCTGGCAATGGCGGGGAATGGTACGTGGAGAGCAAACACGAATAGGGATGGAAAGGATAGCTTGGGCAGGGTGGGAAAGTGGTCAACGGGCTGAGAGACTTCGAATAATTTATTTGTTGGCGCGAACTCATTTTGAAAGCACGCCACCAATCAATTAATCTATCCTCTGTATCATGATAGGTCGGCGTGGTCTTGCTACGGCCAGTCCAGGAGGCAGCGGGGCGTTCGTGCATACGCTGTACAGGAATGTGTTCCGCAGCAACATTGCCTATTTGACTTACGTCTTCGCAGGAGCCATTGTTGTGGAGTGGGTGTACTCGAAAGGCATCGATACGGCCTGGGAAATAAGTAACAGAGGGGTGCGTACTATCTGAAAGTCATCCTCCGCCACATGGAGAGCAACATAGGGTGTAAGGGAGGAGCTGGAGACAACGTTGTCGCTCGCGCGCTCAGGCAACCACCTGTCACACAATCTATGCGTGATCTGTTCGTGTCGCGTGCAAGTGATGTCGTCGAGAGTGCTCTCTTTCCATGGTGTCACTTTTGATCACGAGGGCGTGGCACTGACTCCCTCCCTTTTCCTTTGCACTCCACAGAAACTCTTCCATCAAGTAGACTGGACAAAGTGGCACTTTCACCTGGACGAGGAGGAAGAGGAAGAGGAAGAGGAGGAGGAGGACGAATAGGCGGGGGGGATCGCGTCGGCTGCGGTTACGGGTGTACTTGGGTAGGGAGAAAAAAGCGCCTGGCACCCTGGTGTCGACCGGGCCTGCGCCGAGGGAGGTGGGCTAGCGCAGTGTCCGGGACGCCCGTAGGGATGAATGCGGAAGATGTGGGAGGAGATGGTGATGGAATGCAAAAGAAACGAAGTGAGGAACTTATGGCGCGAGGCCTTTTTCCTCGCGCTGGATTCGACATGCTTGGCATCGCGCTCTCCGTTTCCAATCTCACGAGCGTCTACAATCCCGCACACATGTCAACAAGAGGCACACGCCAATGGTCGTGATCTTCGTTTCTTTCTCATGGTATCAAAATTTCCGCTAGCGCCCCCACTGTGGTCCTACCCACAGCCCCCTACAAGGAGCAGGAGAGCCCTCGTCCCCAGAGTATTGCATTCATTCCTGCCTCGTGATGCCGCCCACGATCCTTAACGGGGTACCTCCATCCGAGGCACTGTTAAGCATGGGCTTCGAATCTATTTCCTCGATCAGCATGTCGCCGGGTCCAAACCTCCTGCCCCGTTGCTTTCGCCCGACCCCTCCGAGATACCCTCCCTGCATCCGTCCTATACCCCCCTTACGCCTTCTTCACGTCCGGCAAGGCTGGGTCTATGCTCGGAACATGTCCCCGAAGGGCCTGCGCGTAGATCCCCGCGATGGATAGGGCGCCCCAGGAAAGGCCTGCCACCACGCCCGCGTCCACGATGGACCGGTAGGGGAAGGCCAGCGTCTTGACCGCTTTCACGAGGCCGATCACACCCAAGGCGATCGTCCACGACACGATTTGTCGTTTTTTACTCGCGTGGAAGAGGCCCATGCTGTAGGGGGCCGCCAGGACCTTGTGGAGGAGGGGGGAGCGAGGACCCAGGGTGAGGGCGCGTTTTACTACCAGCGGGGAGAATTTGAGCTGGAAGCCTTTGTAGCCCTCTGCATATGCCATGATGAGAGCAAATCCCACGTATTGCGCCCAGTGGAGAGGTGTGAAGGCCGTAGGGGTCGCCGTCTTCTTGAAAGGCTCCAGGGCGATGGGCAAGAGTCGACGGATGGCGTTGCTGAGCATAGCCACAACCCCCACCACCCCCCACAGTGCTGACAGGGAGAATGATTGCTTTTGACTCGTCTCGACAGCGGGCGCGGCACCGCCGGTTATCTTTGCAAGTTTGGCCATGGAAACGTCACGGGCTGCTCGACGTGTGCTTGGGAGTGCGGCCCGTGCCTCCACTTCCGGTAAAGGCCACGGCGTCGAAGACAAGGCACTCAGCTTGTAACTAGTAGAGGGATAAATGGTGGCTATCGAGTGCTTATTTGAAGACCAATCAAAGGCGGAGGTTGACGGACGGGCGCAAAACAGAGGACGCCGGGTACTGAAGGAGACGATTCGTCGGGAAAGGATGGCGCACAGCAGGAGGGGACGCAGTAAGACTCGCAGCGGGCAACCACCAGACATTACGAATTATAGACAGGGTTGAATCACAGCAGAATGCTGTGGGGGGTGGCGGAGGTCGTACAAGTGAGTGTGAAGGAATAACGGGAATCGCATATGAAGCGAAAGGGCGAGGGAAGCAAGTGGAAAAAGGAAGCAATTTAGGTGCTGCACAATGCAAGCAACCATCCTATTTCTGGCCTCGAGTCACCACTTGTCACGTGTTTCTCCAGGAAAAAAAACACGTGATTTTTTGTGTGGTGTAAGCATCCCCGAACAACTCGCCGCCTCACCGCATTCGTCAGCCTGGGGGCGAGACGGCAGCGAGCGCCGCTTTCCACACAATAAAAGTCACCGGTAATTGCCTGCGTCCGAGTAACACGAACTTTATATAATCCTGCCGACATATTAAAGCTGTTACACAGTCACTTGCTTGGTGAACTATAGGACTGCTGGATGCTGTCTACAGCTGATCATATCTCAGGCGCGCACCGGAGCTGTACGCCAGCATATCAAGAGGGGAAGCTGCCTGTCTGAGTCCAATACTCGAAAGTATGGAATCTCCCGCGACATGCCCCACGTCAGCTATCAATGCTTCATCAATTTTCATGGCGGCTGCATGTAACTCCTTCAGCCAGTGTCTGGACTGGGCACAGGGAACTCCTGAGCCTTGCGAGGTACAGCATCATGAGCAAGGGGGGTCAGGAGGTAGAGCCTAGGGGCTGAAGTCGAAGTGTCTTTGCAAGTATTCAGAGCGTACCCAAAATGTTTCCTCATCCTTTTTTTTTCGTGACTGTGGCGTATCAACCAACCGTCCAAGGCCCTAAAAGAGAAACTAGTCGTGGCATACGGCGCACATGACTGGGTGGCCATAACGACGGCAGACGGGGCTGTGCGCCATTGCCTGCGCGGGCATAAGGCAAAAGTACATTGCGTTGCTTGGTTGATTCCAAGCCGTTTTCTCGTCTCGGGTGCTGCGGACGGTCAAGTCCGTGTTTGGAGCATAAATGAGGACGGATCAAGTTGGACATGCTCGCAGGTCCTGTACCCGGACACGGAGGAAGGAGAGGCATGCGTCAACCGTCTTGCGGTCCTCGACGGGGAGCTCATCGCTGCAGCCACCACTCTCTCGGTGACTCTCTGGCACTGTAGTATCAAGTCAGGACCGGGTGGGCGTTGGACGCAGGTGTTCTCGACGGCCATGCCCCCCGCCCAGATCCCCTGCGCGGTGGCCTTGGCGCCCTTGGTGAGGAGACGAGGAGACGCTCCGCACGCAGAGCTGGCATTACTGATCGGAGGGGTGGACGGTAAGATTCACGTGTGGAACGGCACGGGGCTGAGAAGAGGACAGGAAGGGTGTGAGGAGGAGGGACAGGAGAGCGCGGGGAGCTGGTCGTGGAGGAGCGCCGGGGCTCTGACCGGGCATCAGGCGTGGGTGCGGTGTCTGGCGTGGAGATCGCTGCGAGAGGAGGGAGAAGGGGAGGGAGAAGGGGTCATGGTGGCCTCCGGGTCGCAGGACGGCAAGATTCGGCTTTGGCGGGTCGGGGCCATGGAGGGCGCCGAGGGGATAAGACCGGGTCGAGGGGAGGAGGAGGCGGAGGAGGCGGGGGAGGGGGAGGGTCGGCTCAGGGTGGAGGAGGAGGAGGATGACCACGAGGTCCGCTTGGTGATGGAGGGGGCCGGGTGCAGGTACGGCATCCGCCTCGATGCCCTGCTGGTGGGCCATGAGGATTGGATCACGGGCCTCGCGTGGCGTCCCCACGGATACCCGGATGTTGGAAAGAAGAGGCAGTCCCTCGCTTTGCTCTCGTGCTCCATGGACAGGAGCCTGATCATCTGGAGGCCTGAGGGGGCGCGGGGGGCGTGGACCCCGCGCGTGCGGCTCGGGGACCTGGGCGCCGATTTGGGTGGGGCGGTGGGAGGCAATTTACTGGGCTTTCTGGGCTGTGTCTTCAGTGAGACGGGCGACAGGGTTCTCGCGCATGGCTTCGGCGGGTCTTTCCACGCCTACGAGTGTGACAGGAGGGCGGAGGGGGGGGGCGGGGCGGAGGAAGAAGAGGAGGGGGAGGAAAGGGAGTCACGATGGGTCCCTATGCCTTTCGCCACGGGCCACTTCGAAGAGGTGAGCGATGTGCAATGGGAGCGGCCTGGAGGAGGCGTTGGCGGAGGACGATACCTGGTGAGTGTGAGCAAGGATCAGACCACGCGCCTGTGGGCCGTGGCCTCCCAGACGCGCCGGCTCCACGAGATGTCGCGGGTCCAGGTTCATGGCTACGACTTGAGCTGTTGCGACATGCTCCCGCCGCGACGGCAGGGACCCGGCGACGAGGAGGTCTGGCAAGAGCACCGCTTGGTCTCGGGGGCGGACGAGAAGACGCTGCGGGTCTTCGACGCCCCCCGGAAAGTGCTCGGCCTCTTGGCGGCCCTGGCGGGGATCCAATCCGCCCAGCCTGCCCGCATTGAGACGGCCTACATCCCCGCCTTGGCCCTGTCGAGCAAGGCGGTGGGCGTCACTGCATCCTCTTCCTCGACCGTGGCCCATGTGCAGGGTGTGGAGGCGGGGGCGGGGAGGGAAGAGGCCTGGAAGGCAGGATCGGCCGTCGGGGGGGGGGCTGGGAAAGGAGGACGCCGAGGCGGAAGCCAAGGCTCGAGCCCGTGTCTCGTGGGAGGGCCGGGGCGCCAACCCGTCCTTGCTGGAGGGCGAGCTCGTGGACCACACGCTTTGGCCGGAAGTGGCCAAGTTGTACGGGCACGGGGACGGGATCATGTGCCTGGCCGCAGACCCAACGGGGCAAATCGTGGCCTCCGCCTGCAAGGCCCGCGACGCCGAGACAGCACAAGTCCGGTTGTGGGACACGGGGAGCTGGCGCGGGGTCGGGGTCTTGCCCGGGCACGCCTCTACGGTCGTGCAGTTGGCTTTCTCGCACGACGGCTCCCTGCTGGCGAGTGTGTCCAAGGACAGGCAGGTCTGCCTCTACGCTAGGGAGGAGGACGGGGAGGGACCGCGCGCGGGGGCCTTTAGGCCGGTGCAGACGCTGGCCCGTGCGCACAAGCGTATCATCTGGTCCTGCGACTGGGCCCACGATGACGCCTTGCTGGCCACGGCCTCCAGAGACGGGGTGGTAAAAATTTGGGGATGGCAGGGGGAGGGGGGAGTCATGTGGCGCGACCAGGTCTTACCGGTGCTTGGACCGGAGGCCCTGGCCAGCTTCAAGCCCAGCACGAGCGAAACGGACGCGGTCACGGCCGTGGCCTTCGCACCCCGCTTGGTCCAGGGGGCCGACGTGGCCGGCTATCTGCTCGCGCTGGGCACAGAGAGTGGTAACGTGGAGTTGTGGACCGGTACCAAGGATAAGGGCAAGTCCTGGCGCTGCCTCCTTGCGTTCGACGGAAGCCTGCCCCACGCTGGAGCGGTGCGCCGGCTCCGCTGGAAACCTCTCTCGTCCGCGCAGGATGGTGATGAGAAGACCTCGTTGATCTTAGCCAGCTGTGGGACCGACCATGCCGTGAAAATAGCCAGGATCCGGCACCTGTGATGTCGCGCGTCGAGGCGTTCTTGGGAACACATTAGAGCAAAGAATGACACTGATACCTGTAATGAGGAAGCCCTGGAGCTTAAACAGGCATTCGTGATTGGAAAAGCGTTCATTTGAATCATCCCCCTCCTAGACAATGTTATGAGGACACACTCAACATTCAAATTCTCCTTCCATTACCCCGCACAGACGCGGCTTCGATGCGCAGGCTCTGTTTCTCCTATCCAAGTGCCAGCATAATTATAGTCGCCCTGGCCCTGGTACCATCCTCTCTTTCCTCCCAACGAATTCCGTCCTTCTGCCTTCGAGAAGCAAGTCACCAAGGGATATTACGGCGCCGGTGCACCCCCGTGCTCCGCACACGGATGCGCCTGTCCGTAACTACACCGTCCATGGCCGCTCAGCCTCATTCAACTACAACCCGGCCGGCCTTCCCAGCAGCGACCGCATTGCATCGCGCTTCTGGTACCATCCTGCTCCTCGCCACGACTGAGGACAAGGCCTCCGTGAACATGCTCCAAGCTCTCCTTGCCAGAGGAGGCTGGGAAGAGACCACACCCGTGGACGCATCTTCCCGCGTGTGGCACCGTCCGGACGGGCCCCAAAATGTCTTTATGTGGCAAATAACGCAAGGTTTCTTGCGGGCGGACTGGCTGGATAAGGCTTGGCTCACCGCCCACCCCTCACAGCGGATCCAAGAAATGATATTTCTGAGCCGGCACGCCGCCGCCAGTGGACGGCCCTCGCTCACTATCCATCCCATAGGAAATCCTGGCCAGCCCTTTGCGCCACAGGAAGGAGCTCGGGGAGCGCATGGCGGCATCCCTGGACGGTGTGTCCCTCCTTCTCCACGCATGGCCCCGCTTTTTAGACAGTTGCATAGGGCCGTTCAAGACGCAGGACTGGCGGGAACTTTTGAAGTGACGTTGGAGGCCACCCATCACGGGCCATGGCATATGCATCCAACAATGTTTGTGGAAATTGGTTCTAAGGAGGAAGATTGGGGCCGGGAGGATGCTGCACATGTGTGGGCGGATGTTCTCGATAAGAATTTGGGCTTGAGTGCGACTGAAGCGAATGGAGTGAGAATCCCTGCTGTGGAGGAGTCCAAGCTAGTGATAGTCGGCGCGGGGGGGGGGCATTACACCCCTAAAATGAATGACCTTCTCCGCCACCGTGAAGACGTCCTCCTGGGCCACATTCTGGCCTCGTATTGTTTCACTGGATCTGAAGAAGACTGGAAACGCGGGATAGATGAGGCCATTGAGGCAACTCGTCGAGCCTACAGTTTGCCATCTGAAAATGCAGAAGAGGAGGACGGTGGCAAGGAGGAAACTCGCGTGTGCGTGTATATTGACAAGAAGGCGTTTAAAAGTGCTCCGCGACAAGCTTTAGTACAGTATTTGGAATCCAGAGGGATTCAGTGTGCCTTCAAGGAAAATGACTTGAATTGAAGTGATGCGGCCTTTAGGAAACACCACAAAAGTAATTGACAATCTCAGGAACGATCTGCGTGTTTACAGCTTCCCAAATAACAATTATACCACGTACCAAAAGGGGTTTAATGTATCTCACAACTTCTTCTAATAGGTACAGCTTCTCAAATTGGGTGTATGATGTGACACTTCGTCTCACACACGTCACGATAATTCAGCGTATGGCTTCCCTTCATCACATTCACGCAAACTTCTACACAACCCTGGGCATATTTCTTGTGTTGGCAACACTCCCGAAATCGATTCTGCACACAATGGTTCATTCAATGATTCAATCAAGGATTAGAATAGGCGAAGACAGCGTGCTGTGGCACACCTATCTCACCAAGCATCTTGCACATAACCATCTCAAACACCGGCGGGCCACAGATAACGAATAATTGATGCGCTGACTCCTCGTACGGGTAATACAAGTGGCGCCTTGCAGTGTCTGCATTCACGAAACCCACACCCTCTGTCCATCCTAGAGGCGGCTTATTCAGCACGACATAGTGACGGAAGTATGCAGGATACGCCCTCTGGATGCTTTGCAGAGTGTCGGTGAAGGCCAGGTCGAATTCTCGTTCCGCCGCGTAAACCAAACGCACGCCCGAGGTGGCCGGGTCTGGCAGGGGCTCATTTTCTGGAGCCCCGGCGCCCACCAAATGATAAAGATAGGCTCGCACGATTTGAATCATGGGGGCGATTCCCGTCCCTCCGGCAAGGAGAGAAAGCTGCTTGATTTCCCGCTTTCCCTGGAAAATCTGTGAGCCCGTAAACTCCAAACGGAGCCCGCCCATGGCCTTCAAATAGCACTCCCCTCCCGGACGAACCGCATTCAGGAAGTTGATGATTTGCCCACCCGCTGTGTCCGTGCGGCACAAGATCTCGACGTAGCCTTCCTCGTCGGGCCGGGACAGCGGCGAGTAGAAGCCTTGGAGCCATTCCCCGTCGAGTTCCCCCCGGATGGCGACAAATTGCCCCACTGCCAGACCTGCCTGCTGGAGAGCACCGTGCAAATGGAAACGAAACACCATGGTGTTGACGCCGTACTTAAAGTCTGTCTGCAGAACCTCTCGGAAGGTCACAGGTGTCCACTCTTCTTCTTCCAAGCACGTTGGCCGCCTCTGTTTGATGGTTCCCGCGCGTCCTCCTGCCAGCCGCCCGAAGACCACGCACTCCAGGAGAGAGTTGCCTCCCAATCGATTCGCACCATGCACTCCACCCGTCACCTCACCAGCCGCAAAGAGTCGGCGGACCGGGCGGAGCTTCCTGTACAAATTGCCTCGATCCATCTGAGCGCCCTCCAATACCTCTGCGGCCGCGCTAATCCGCAGTCCTCCCATCGTGTAATGGATGCTTGGAGTCACTCGAGCTGCCACCAAGTCGGTGTCCGTCCATGAAATCGGAACTGGAAAAGCGTTCTTGCGCGTCTTCAGACACACCCCAATGGCCGCTGACTGAGCATACTCCTCAATGGTGGCCTTCAGTGCGGCGGGCTCGCATCCAATCACGTCCTTGGCCAAGGTGGGAAAATCTTTGGCTGCCTCAAACAAGCCCCGGGCATCTTTGTAGAAACGAAGAGCAGAGAGACCAAAATTCTGCTGCGCCTCCTTGTTCAGAACGCACCAGGCGTAAACGTTGCCGACTTGCCCCTCCGCGCCCACGTAAGGCTTGCACTGGGTGAGAATCGCATTGGAGACGACAGAGCGCAAATCCAGCTCATTCACAAAGCGTCGTCCCTCTTGGTTGATGAGGATCCCTCCAGAGCCCCGCAGGGCCTCAGGCCCCAATATCTTGGTCGGATTCACAGGATCCTTCGGGTCCACAAAGGACGTAGGGTGGAGCTGCACCTTATCCATATCCACCGTCAAAGCTCCCAGAGCGAGTCCCAATTTCACGCCGTCTCCCGTCGCGAAGGCACCATTGGTGGAGGGCATGCCCAGATCAGAGGAGCCGTTCCCCCCATGCGCCGAGCCGAGGAGGTCCGGGCGATGCTCTTTCAGTAGGCTCGTACTTGACAAGTCGCACCCGTACCCGCCTGTAGTAAGCACCACCGCGTCCGCCTCCAGAGTGTGAATTTCATGCGTGGCCATGTCCTCGTAGGTCACACCCGTCACTGTCTTCTGGGCGGGCACGTGGGTCGTGGAGCCCCCGTTCTCCTGGGGCTCCTGCATCTCGAGCTTGACCACGCGAGCCGACGTGCGAATCTCTATTTGATCTGGGGGCAGCTTTTCCCTCACGTAGGCCTGCACGCGCTCCATGATGAGCCAGCCAATCGGGCGGGGGTCTCCTGATGGCGTGGGTCGAGCCCGGTGCGTGCGCTTGAAAGCGTGGCCCCCCAGCTGACTGAGCTCGTCCAGATCCACCCCCATGTCATCCATCAACCAACGTACCGCCTCGGCAGACTGCGTGGACAGGACCCGGATCAAGGACGGGTCGCACAAGCCGCCTTTGCCCGAACGGCACGTGTCGCGCTCGAAATATTTTTCCTCGTCCATCACCCCTTGCCGGGCTTGCGGCAGGGTCCCCCACCCGTTGATCCCACTGGTCGCCTTGGCACTGTTGCCGCCCACGCGCGCCTCTTTCTCCAACAACACCACGCGGGCACCGGTCTTGGCCGCCTCAATCGCGGCAGAGAAGCCCGCCAAGCCCCCCCCCGCCACTACCACACGAGCTGGTTCGTGTTGGGAGAGGCGGACGTCCCTGGCCACGTCTCCCTCGCTGCCCCGAACCCGGTGTCTCAGAACCTTGGGCCCCTCGCGCGAATAGAGAAGGTAGTCCGTGACGGTCGTCCCGCCCAACCTGGGCGAGACCGCGTCCAGGAAAGCCCTCGCCTCCTTGGGCACGGCCCCCATCGCCAAGGCGGCGGTGGCCAGGGCGTCCGCCAACATGCAGGAACCTTCCGTCACGATCGATGCCTGCGCCAGCCCCGAGGAAGAGACCTCCATCAAGCGCTTGGTCTTGGACTGGAAGACGTGGTGGATGAGCTTGTCGCCCACCCAAAAGACTTGCATGTAGTCTCCGGAGGTAGTGACGCTGGCCCCATCCCGCAAGGGAATGTTCGCGAGCTCGGGCCGCGCTTCCTCCTCGCCCAATCCCAGGGATGCCGTCCGATCCGCCAGCACCGCCTCCGCCTCCTGCAGCTCAAACACGTCCTTCGCATGCCCTGACAGAAGGGGAGAGCGAGGAACGGGCCCCATCCCCGAGGAATCGGTCATGCGCCGCAGGGATTCTTGTCTACCCAGGGCGGCAGGCGTGGGCACGGTGTTCTGGAGCGTGTGGACCGAGGGCGGCTCCATCACGCGCACGGACCAGGGCCGGCCAGTGGGGTGCATGCCCGCCACGTGCACGTCTCCGCCCCACTCCATGAAGATGTCATTAAAGCCGGCGCGCCGCAAGGCCGCCACGCACTGGTCGATGGCCCATCCCTTCGCCAGCCCTCCCAGGTCGAGGCCCGCCTTGTCGTGCGCCTTGGTCAGTGTCTTGCCGTCCTTCGACAAGATGAAGGAGCCCCAGTGCGCGTAGAGGGCGATGGCGGCGGCCTGTGGGTCTTGCTCCACCGAGGTGACGTCGAAGCCACGCAAACTCTGCTTTAAATGCTGTTTGTAGTGCTGCAACAGGGGGGAACATGCCGGGTCGTACACTCCCTTGGTCACGTCGTAAAGCTTATCCACGGCCAACAAGACAACACTCATGTCTTCGGAGAGATCGATCGCCTGGCCACGGGGGGCCTGATTGATGCGATTCACCTCCGAGTCCTTGATCCACAGGGAGAAGACCTGCTCGGCCCGCTTTAAAACGTCCTCGACAAGAGCATGGATCTCATCCAAGCGCTCGGGGGGTGCGCCAACCTTGGCTATGTATTGCATGGCGCCCCTCGTACCGGTCACCGTCTGCAGCACTTTTTTCAGCTCTCCCTCCTCCATATTCAGGGCGGGGTCATTCCACCCCCCTGCGGCGGAGGCCGTAAAAGGGCCTGCTGCGGGCTTTCTCAAATTCATGGGTGCCACCACTGCTGATGCCGCGGCACGCCCGTCCGCGAGACTCGCCATGGCGTGCAGGATCTTTGATGGGTTGATGAAGAGGGTCATTGGATGGTTGAACAGTTGAGGAGCGGGACGTAGATTCAAGAGGGTGTTGAAATGGCGGTGTATGCCCTCACGCATCTCATTCCTCCACAAATACGTCGCAAAGATGGAATCCACTCGACCAGCATCCAGGGAAACACTCAACACTGCCATCCAATCCCCATTTTCATGCGTGAACCCGTCGGTGCGCGTTTGCCCAGCCGGCCCTGTGTAACTCTCGCTCTCGTGCGTCTCGTCGCTCACATCAAGCGCTCGCCAGAAACACTTTGTTCCCCCGCCCCGCCACTTGCATTCCATCCCGTTCTTGACCCCTCCTCCCTCCACCCAGGCTCCCAAGGTAGGATGAGCAACCAGGAGAATGCGGACTCCGACTTCGCTCGTCGTTCTCGCACCCCTTCCGTGGCCGGTACTGGCCTCACACCTGGTATTCCCGCCAGATCGGACGAGGTCGGTCCGGAAAAAGAGGCAGTAAATGCGCTAAAATCGCCCAGTCGCCTCCCATCTCAGGACATTATAAAGGGGGGTGAGGTATGGCGATGTGCCATGCAGGGTATGGCTCAAAGCCTGAGATGTCCCGTCTGCTTGGGGTACGTGCCTGGCGCCTGCTACCTCCCTTTCAATGCGAGCTTCTTACATGCTTTTTATTTCACTACGCACCAATATATATTGAATTCTTAACAGGCTGATCAATGAAGCTGCTGTTCCCCCGTGTCATCACTTGGCATGTAAACCTTGCTGGGAAATGTTATTGCGAAACTCGGGTGCAACACCCCTGTGCCCGATTTGCAAGGAGGTGGTTTCACGTCGCAGCATCATGGACAGTCCCCTTTTCGACGCCTTGAGCGCGGCACTGGAAAAGGGTATATCATCCTTTGGTTTGGCCTTGGACGACAGTTGCCATGTCTCAGACCAGGTGCAGGAGGCTGTGG